AGAGTATTATATTCTTTATAAACCAGCGAGATCAAGAGCATATGGGGGTGTGTTGAAAAACCAGCTGGCCAGAGAAGAGGGAAGGGGGATGCAGGCAATGGGGACACACATAGAGACACGCAAGGACCCCCCGGAGCTCAGCACCTCCCACCGCTGCCACCGTTTCCCCCCGGCCCTCTGAAGCATCTCACTGCTCATTCCCTGGGAACAGGGAGGAAGAAAAAGATTGGTTAACAACCACAGATTTCAGGGAATTAAATGCAATCAACAGGCAGAAAGGAGCAGCACCATGGTAAGTAATATTGCCTACACAGTGCCTCCAAAGCTGTGACGAATACCCCCCATCCCCAGGAACCCTCCAGCCTACACAGTCTTTCTTGGCATGTCTTTCCCCTTGTGTCTCTCCTCCACAGGTTTCCAGGAGATCTTTACAGTCTCTTATGGCTCTTGCAGAAAATGGGCAGGTATTGCCCTTTGGAGCCAAGCAGTAGAAGCAGTAGAAAACAGCGATTGCACTGTGAACTGGTGTGTCAGCTTGTTACGGGGCAGTCTGTGAAGGGATTACACAGGAAAAATAACCCAGTCCTGCGCAAATTAGAAGGAGCGAGGGAAAAAAAGGGATTCACAACTTGCAAAGCATCTTAAGATGTTTTCCAGGAAAATGCAAGGCACGGAGCCTCACACTTCTCCGTACCCCTCTTCCCGCCTGCAAGCAAGGCTTTCCAAAAGGACGCTTCAAGCAAGGGATCGACATTGACAATCCTCACTCCAAACATGTCCAGCAACCCATGCCTCCCAAGGGTGGTCCCATGTTTCAGAAAGGGAGGTCTATATATCAGGGTGACGGTTTTGTCGGACCAAGCACTGCCTGTTTGCCTCTATTCTGTTTGGTTTTCATTGAAAGCGGGATGCTTATTGCAGTTGAACGATGAAGCTTTAATCTTCTCCCTATAAGGCAAATTTGTTTTTTTTTGTTGTTGTTGTTAAACAAAGTTCTAAAAAAGAAGATCCCTCCAGTATAGGGCTGATTATCCCCTTCAACCTAGCTTGCGAAGTTATGTGCCCCAAGCATAGGTATGGATTTAATACCATAATCGCTACTGCCTCTTCATCAAGCTGTTAGTTTTCTCACATCTCTGCCTTGGCTCAGCATTAAGAAATGCCTTAGAAGTTTTGTAGCTCTCCCTCCTACCCCAGAAGCATTTTAAGCACCAAGGACTTAACATTGACTTGAGTTGCACCTGCTGCAGTCTGCACAGAAAACATCGCTACATTGCCAGTCGCCTAAGAATTGTATTTACCAAGCTGCTTATCAACATGCAGAAATCTTCACCATGCCCATAATCAGCTATCTGACACAACAAAAGCCTGTTTTCAAGGGGAAAAAAATTACAAAAATAATCCCCATCCTGCCCCCCCCAAACTAAATTACAGTGTTAAACCATTTTTGGCTTAATATAATTAATAATATCTATTTCCCCTCTGTTTTGTGATTCAGCGGTTTCCAAAGATATAAGAAGCACCAACAGTGAATCCTGTGGTGCCAGAACAGCCTGGGGACGGAAATAATCAGCTCGAAAATAAACAGCATTTTTTTGCAATCAAAGTGCTAATAGGCATGGTAGGCTGGTGGAGAGAAGCTCAAGCAAGAAGGGATGGAGAAGAGGGGAAAAACACTGATAAATCTGAAATACACAGAAAGGCGGGGAAGAACGACCATTCGGAGTAAAGAAAGTCAAAAGATTTTTCAGTAGGACGCAATCATCCCATAGCAAATCCACCACTGGTTTGTTCTTGCATAGTTTCAGGCATGCTGGTAAATGCTGTCTGGATCACCTGCCTCCCATTTTATCATGACAGTATTTGCTATGGTGTATCTCAACCTCTGCATGAATTTAATCCTGCCATATTCCTGGAAAACTATTTTTTTGGAGTCTAATACAGTAAAAGAGTTTTTACTTTCTTCAAAATAAGAGGTACTTCAAGTATTTCAAGCCTCAGCAGCCTCCGTTGGGTTGCTACATGGATTGGTATGACCACATGGGTCTGAAACGCTTGCTTTGCCTGCATGTAAAGGTCTACCACACACTGCCCAGCTCCATTGCTGCTGGCATGGAAAATACAATTAAACAGGGAGGCAGCATCAAGAGCAAAAGCATGACCCGGCTGGCCAGTGGCTGTTTTGCTATGAAGCCAGGCGATTCCCAATCTCCCGATGGGAAACACTCCCGTGCCAAAACCTAGACCCAGCAAGAGGTACAGCTGTGATCAGTTCTTGGTCAGAAATGAAGTTTCCTCCCTAAGATGTTTTGGTCTGAGTGCCTGGCTGCAGGAAGGACCCAGGTGACTCAAACCAGACTCTTTTGTAGGCCATGAATACTGCCAAATACCACCACCCCTGGTCCTCCTCCCCTGACAAGCCCCTCCTGAGCAGCACTGAGCAGCATCACCCCACGCGAGGACAATCCCGGGATGGAGTGGAGCTGCTCCGCTGCTGCATTTATCCTCCAGCACTGGGAATATCTTGTCTAACATGGGCATCACCTGCCTGCTCCAAATCTTTTGGCTTTTACCCAGCTTGATGGGAGTTGGATAGAGACAGCTTGGATGGAGGCAGCACCAGACCAAAAACCCAAAGCATGGCAGGGCTTTGTGAAAAATCATGTACCAAAAAATCGGTACTGAGTGTGTCAAGAGGCGGTTATTTTCGTTGCCAACCTTTCTAGTTTATTTTGTGGCTTTCTATATCCTGATGATGGATCCTAATTGCTCCCAAAGGATTTGAAGGGGGAGGCTGGAGGAGAGCGGCGAAGCGCCAGCGGGCCATCGGCGGTGGCGGGACGGGAAGGGTGATGTGGCCAAGGACAGCGATGGCGCTTTGCGTATGCCCGGAGCAAGAAAATAAAGAGACAGCAAACAACAACCGAGGAGGCCTAACGGGGACTTGTTTTACTCTTTAACATGCTACCAGCAGTTTTTAATCTCAGAAGAACCAAAATTTAAAAAAAAAAAAAAAATTAAAAAATCATTACAATGATTAAAAGGTACGACACATGAAATACTATACTCAAATCATCCGCGTGTCATCGGCTAGTTTATACAGTAGGCACAAAACAGACCTAGAATCACCTGCAACAAATGTCAACCGGTGGTGTTCTCACCCCTAAACAAGTACCGCTAGCCTGATATTTCTAGTCAGCCATAGCTGTGTAATCTTTGTGCTTAAATTGCTCAGCTTAGGCCTCCTTTCTTTGGCATTGCTCACCCATGCCATAAAGGACTGGAGACTCATACTGAAGACAGTAATGGAGAGAGGAACAACAACAACAACAAAAAAAGAGAGATTAATCGTACAGTACATACATACAGTATCTTCTAAATCGTGATCAGTTGTTTATTGGTTGGCAAACAAGCTTCACTTTTACAACAAATATTAGTAATGAGGTCATTCAACTGTTGAGACCGTACAAAATGGATCATAAATTAAAAAAAAAAAAGAAAAAAAGAAAAAAAGAAGAAGTCATACTCCGTGCTGCTAATTAACCTCCAGAAAGCCTATGTTACTTAAAAATCCTCTCAAATAAATAAATTTCCTGTTAGGAAAAATAATGAACAGAAGACTTTTTTTTTTTAAAAAATCACTGCAAAGTACTTTTTAGCTCACTACGCATCAATCGATTTTCTTTTTAACCACTGCAGTACAAGTGCCTAAACCGGGGACCAGACGGAGCCGTGAAGGCCCTTCGCTCCTCCAGGGAAATGGCCGTCTCCTGTAGAAGCCCCGCTACGACTATAAAAAAAACCTCTCGGCTCCTGGATGCGACCCTAGGGCCTGGCTGAGGGGCTGCTCGCCCAAGATGCTTCGCGGGATTATCGTCACGATCGGTTGTGCACTGTCAACGGGGAAGTTTGCCCTGCTCTAGTCTGCCAAAAGGTCTGCCGGCAATATGCCAGCTGAAGAAAGTTATACAATGAGGAAATAAAAAGACTGCTTGGCTGAAAAGAAATGGTGATGGTGTTATTAAAAATGGTCCTTAGAAAATGATGCTCTTTTTTTTTTTGCCTAGTGAGATTTTTTTACCCAGACAGGGAGGGGACGGAGAGGAGGGGCAGTGGAAGAGGCAAAACAAAATTTAAAAAAAAAAAAAAAAAAGGAGGAGTTATGAAAAACCTTGCTCCTACTGGTAGACAAACTTACAAGACCAGCACAACAGAAAAAAGTTCTTTTTTTTTTTTTTTCCACTACATTAACAGGGAAGCAAGTTCTGGAGGAACAGAAAGCAGACTATATGTGCAATGCTAGTATCTGTACATTACATAGAAATTGTTCGCTTCTCTTTTTCTGCCATTAGTTTTTATCATCCGTTAATACAGCAAAACGTAAAATATGCCTTTAGCACAGAATTCTAGGATTCACTTCCGTCTCACTAAATTTGTTTTTGTTTTGTTTGCTCCCGCAGCAAAGGGCGCTGCAGCGAAACCAAGTTGTGAGTGACCAAAACCCATGACGTGATCTGGATTGGTAAGAAAGAGTTTTGCTAGCTTGTTTTGTGCAGCGCTCCCACCTAGATGCATCATCGCTACTCATTTCAAATGCATATTTTTGGCCTTTTATTTATTTTTTTCTTTGCCTTTTTTTTTTCCCCCTCTTAAATCAGGTCCTCGATATTAAGAGCAACACAGCATCAAGGATTGTTTAAACAAACACGGCATAACTTGAGAAGGCCACGAAGTGTGCCGTTATCTATCTCTTTCATTAACATAATGAAGTCTGTCTGGAGGGAAGGAGGATGGGGGGAGAAGGGGGGGGGCAGCAGTTACTGTCCTCTCCGGGCCGGCCTAAAAATTCCAGTAAAAAAAGTCCGAGAGTTTCCTTTCGAACAGCATGAAGATTTAGGAGTACACACAATATTACCACTGTTTGGATTAACTCAGAACAGTAAACCGAGCATTACGGAGGGGCTTTTTGTTGTCTCTTTGCTTAATTTTTGCTGAATCTTCTATAGACTAGTGACCAAGTGCGTGGGTCCTTTTGCATTGCCGTCCGGGGGGGTTCCCTCTTTGTTTGGCGGGACTATAAAACCGTCGCTGCTGCCTCGACCTAGCTGGTAGTAAGTGTGTAGCTGATGGACGTGGTTCCTGGAGCCAAGGTTGGGCATGCTTTTGTAGTAAACATCGTCGGTGTCGCCACTGCCGCTTTTGGCTGGCGGGGGATCGGTCTGGGTGCTGGCGGTGACGCTTTCCGTCATGGGCATGCCGGCCAGCGCAGGCATACTGGTATAGAGAGAATCCCTGTTGGGCGACTGGAGATCGTCCGTGTGCTCGTTGGTCAGCAAGGGGAAAAAGCTCTCACTGTTGTCTTGCGGGATGCGCCGCCGGCTGTAGAGGTGGGGCTGGTGGTTGTCCGCCGAGTACACGGCATCCGACTCCTCGTGGATGAGCTCCAGGCCCAGACTCTCCTCATGGGTGAAGGAGGTGGCGTCGTCCAGCACGATGGCGTCGTCCTCGCTCCCGCCGCCCACGCTGTTGACGAGTTTGTTCATCAGGTTGCGGCTCTGCTCACTGGAGCGCTCGTGGTTGTTCAGGTAGGAAGGGATGTAGTTGGAGGTGAGTTCCTTCAGAATCTTTTTCTCGAGGGCGTTCTCGGTGTGGTTGTACCCACGGTCAAGGATTTGCACGCAGTTGCTGAGGTACTCGCCGCTGGCGATGCTGTAGCTGTTGCCGTGATTACCATTCAGTGGTAGAGTATCCGTGACACTTGTATCCCTGGCATTGTTCAGAAGCCCCTCTGAAAAACATTACACAAGAGAGGGTGACTTGTACAAACAGGACACTCACGCGGGACGTGCACACTCAAACCCCTTTCCTAGGCTGCTGGGGCTCGGCAGCGAGGAGAGTGTTGCGGCCAAAACAGGAGGGTGCAGCTCCAGCTAACCGGCTTAAGGTCTTCCCACCGAAAAAATGGAAAGCGCCGTCAAGTATGTGACTTGATGCGGCAACAGCCGGCAGGAAGGAATAACCTCTCCTGGCCAGTACCTCCTACAGCTCTTGTGCTTTGCTCTATGTATTCCCGGGGGAGCTGAGAAATAGGTGACCCTGGGCTGGTCGCAATTGCCCTGGCTCCAGGCGCTTTGGAGGAAGGGGGCAATTCCCCCCCAGCTGAGGGAAAAGTATTCGCAGCCCAAGTTAATCATTACCCAAACTTTGTTTGGGAGTGTGTCCTTCCTAGAGGAAAAAAATAAATCTGCTCTCCCGTTTTGCTGGGCAGGCTGCCAGGGGAAAGGCATAAGGCCTGAATGGCGGGATTCGGCAATTAGCAAGACGGAGGCACAAAGTGCTTCCTGGCCCAGGCTTTTTTGGAACAAGGCTAAATGCCCATGTCTCCCAGCACAAGGGCAAGGCCAAAATATTTACTCCACACTGGCTGGGTGGGGATTTTCTAATGCAATTGATGTCGGAGGCAGCTGCTGTGGGGTCTTGCGAAGCCTTTAAAAATAGCTCCCATTTCACTTGCAAAGTTAAAGCAGAGGGTTCAGTGGAAGGTACAGCAAGTACCATCACCGCCACGGTATGGTGGGCTCAGGGGAACCTGCGAGGACTAATGGGGTCCTGGGGGGTCCCCAAACTAACTGCCTATCACATCTCCGTAGGTGTTTCAACACTGTCAATGTAAGGCTGGAGCTTGACTCTTTCTCAACACGCTACGGGAGATGGCGGGGAAGCACTTTGAGAGCAACGCAGCATGAGTGGGCAAGGGAGAAGAAAATCAGGCCCAGCAGTTAAGCTGCCACGCTTTCTTTTTTGGGATTACTGGCCTCCTTGGAAGGAGTGCAGGCATGGGGATGCATGAAATAACATATCGACCTTTCAGCTAAGGGCTTCGGGTGTTGCCAAAAAATGTCAAGCAACTCCCAGCAAGCTGCGGTGGATTAGAGGAGCTGGTAGCCGACAATTTCAGATGAACAGTTGCTCATACCATGCTTGGTACATGGCATGTGTACCTTCTGAAAATACAGGATTCGGTCTATATCTGCGATGGAGTAGTTGCTGCATGTCAAGGGATGGAAAGCGCTGCTGCAGGCTTTCTTCTCGCTTTTGAGTGAAATGCCCCAAATGTGTCGGTCACCTCTTAGGTTTCTGAAGCTTAGAGAGTGCTGCCGTATCCTGGGTTTCCCAACAAATGAGGGAACTATGCCAAAAAATCAACTAGCCATCACAGACATAGAGCAAAGCCGTTGATTTTCATGGTGGAAGCTCTCCAACTGAGTCATGATGCTTGGGGAGAAATGAAAAGTGAGCATTTTGGGGGGAGGACCGTATGTAATGGGTGACGGGTACAACAGCATCTGTCTGATGGTCACGTTGAATAATGTATGCACTGAGGCGCTGAGCGCTGCGCTTCTGCTGCCAATGCACAGAGCCCGGGTTTGGTGGGGAAATAAAATGGAGGCATCGCAGGTGAGAACAGAGTGGGGTCTGCAATGAAACACGCCATATAAAAATGCCATGACCTTGCAAATAAAAATGTGAAGTTTAAAAAAAATCATATGCACAGTTATATGAGAAACTACGCTGCGTAAACGATACCACAAAAACGAGAAATAAACAAAGAAAGCATCACCTAATCTCATCTATATATATATGTACACATACATATATATATACACACATACATACACACGCATACACGTATATATACATATGTATATTCATATTCTTTTTATTTCAAAACTGTGAAATGAATTTCCTTTATTAACTACATCATCTATATGTGATGCAATAAAAGTGAACTAAAAAAAATTACATTTGATATGCAATGTTTAGCTTTACTCCCATACTTGTCTCTCTGTAGGGCTCTAAACGACAGCATGAAGAAAAGGAAAGAAAAAACAACAAGTAAGCTTACAGCGACAGTAGGAGAAACATGAGTAAAAAGCAAATTGATGATATGCAGAAAAGAGAGTTAACGGAAATAATTTCCACTGCCCAGAATACATGAATTTGTTACATGGTTTATTTCAGGTTAAAAATATTGACATTTTAGACAGAAAAAATATTTTACGCGCAATATTCAATAGACTACATTTTTATTAAAAAAAATTATCACATTTAAAATGTTTTCCAATGCCACTATAAAACGTTCAGCGTGCAACACAAATCAAGAAATAATGCCTGGAAATTTAAGAAAAGTCTAAAGCTGGTAACGGTCATGCTTGAAAAGACAGGCACTGTCAATGTCACTTCCAAAGTCTTAAAATGAATGGCTTTACTTACTGTTAGTTATAATAAGCCCTGGCAGTTGAAACCGAAATCCGTTTCCTTGCTAAAAATGTTTTGCCGTCCATCCTTTGCAACAGTGCTTTGTAAGAGTATGACTTTGCTCATCACGGGGCTGCTGGCATTTTACAAACTTTGGTAAGTCTGCTCTTTTTTTAACTGAACACATGGCAAACTACATGGACTTTGCAAAAAAAAAAAGTAAGAGAACGGTAGTTCGAATAATGGCATCGCTAAATGAAACTATTGAGAAGAAAGGGTTAAAACAAGAAGAGCCAGAGATGAAGATGAAGAGCCAGTGGTAACTCTCAGCTTCCCACTTTGCAACAGTCTGTGGCACGCTGGGGTTTAATCAGAGCTTGTTAACGGGATTGCCGCCTTCTCTTAAAATTAGCTCTCACGAAAGCAGTTAGGCCATTTTGAGAAACTCCTGCGTCCGAGAGACCGAGCCAGCGTATGTCTGTCAGCTGCCAATGGCGGTGAGCGCTCAGCACGTGCTGCGGGGTGCCAGACCCCTCACCTACCATCTCCTCCTTCCTCTACTCTCTGTGTCCCATCAAGGAATCGCTTTCGCCACTGGGAAATGGAAGTTTGGCCTTTCAGGGTCTGACTCCCCACCTCTTTCCAAGGGTTTTTTTTAGGGCTCCCAGTCCCTGGTGAGTCTCTACCATAGATGGGGTGGCTTTGGCTTGAGCAGAGAGGGTATTTTAAAACACGTAACTGGGGAAGGGGAAAGGGTGAACCGGATCAGGCCCCAGGTTTCTTATAGCATTCTGTCCCTGTCAATGGCCAGCACCAGAAGTGGTGGATGAAGGTGCAAAAAAAATCATAGCCTTAGTGATGTGGAATGAGTTAGTTGGATGACGTTAGCTAGCAATGCCGATCCGAGCCAAGGCACACCCAGAGATGGTGACAGCGTCTACTTTTACAATGCACTATCATGGCTTCAGCGTGCCTGCTGGTGCAGCATCCTTAAATCCCAAAGAACCGCTGAAGCTGTTAGGCCTGGTTGGTTTTGCTAACCTTTGTTTCTGCTGCAGGATCTCCTAATATTCACAGTTTGTAATTGTCCAGGGACAGTAACCAGTGTGAAAAGCAATAGCTATACCAGTTCTACGGTCATTATTTAACTTGCAGCTGCCTGAAAAGAATGGGTTGGGTTCTTCTCCCTCTGCAGTCAACGGCAAAGCTCCAGGGGCTTAAATGGGATCAGTACTGGTCCCACTCTCTTTCTTCATCTCCCACGGATGAAGCCTGGGTAGGTTTCTCTGTTATCCATCTGGCTGTGTTGCACTGAATAGCACTTGCAAATCAATTACACTATTTTTGTGGAACAAAATGCTGTTAGCTCAGGTAACTAGCTAACTCAGGTAACTCAGAATCTAGTCTTAAAAAGAAGTTTTCCACAAGATTATTAAAATGCACATAAAACCTTTTTGTCACATTTCCGCCCAAACCACTTGGGTTCAGTTGAGGCACCCAGACCTGAACATCAGGACTTCCCTTAAGCCAAATGCTGACCCAACATTACCTGCTGCCACTTGATTAAAAAGCCCCCCAAACCTCAAAGTTATCATACAAGAAACTATACAGAACATCAAAGCTCATTTCAACATTTGCAGTACACTGAAGTTCGTAAAATTCAGAGCGTTTCATGTTTAACAGTAGCACTTTTTAAAAAAGCATTCATGGAAGCAAATTTATTGCACAAAGTTAGCATAGTTTAGGAGATCAATGAACAGCAAAAAGGTCAAACACATGTGCTTTCCTTGTGCTTTGAATGAAAATACCCTAGTGATACAGTTCAATATCTATTTCTATCATAAACAATACGCTGCCATATAGCACAGAGGAGGTTTTCCTGCTTGCATTATAACCGTCATTATTTTCCCTTCCTTAGAGATCCTTTACTGGAAAGGGACGCCTTCATTGGGAGCGGAGAGCTGACAGAGTGGTGACATACTTGCGCTTGAACGCAGCGTTACTCTGTAATGACTCAGCCACCTTGCAAGCAAGCCAAAAAAACCCCCAAACAATCCCATGGAAGAGGCAGAGGAGGACGGAGCCACCCAGAGACAGGAGCTGGCAGAGCTCCACACTCCTCAGCTCCTTCTCAGGTCCTGCTTAAACACATCTGCCTCTCCCTCACGGAAGCATCAGGACATCAGCTTACAAACATGGTCCCTTCCCACAGCCAGAGCAGAGACAAACACGTAGGTGACAAGAGACTGATTTCTACAGTGGAAACCTCCGTTAGGTACAACTGACTCTACCTGTTTATTTTCCTTTGCTGAAAGGAGGATATGCAAGAGCTTCTAGTTTCCCTACCCCTTTTTCTATTCTTTTTTTTTTTTTTCTGCTTTCTAATAGCACACATAAAATGTATTAATGCAAACGGCAAAACATTTCTTACAATATCTAAGCTCTGCTCTTTGGAGCTGACCTACACTCCTTGCTTCAGCTGTCATTTTTCTTACAGATCAAGGGCAGTTTTGCTTTATTTTGCATTTTTTTTCCTGTGCAAGCTGGTGCACCGCTGACCACCTTTCTCTATGCCATTTCAAATGAGAACAGCTTTGGTGGCAAAGGCCATTTTAGCTTCACTTACCTTCAAAGGTGTTCCTGTTTCTGAAATGAATGGTTTAACAAGGAAATGCGCTGACAACAAAGAGAGGAATGGATACGTCCGACACAAGACCAAAACAATACAAAAGTGAGGAGATTGAAAAAAAAAAAAAATCAAAATCAAAACCACTATGAATGTTTTGAGTAGAACTGACAGGGCTCTCTCAAAGTGAATTTGATCGCTCATGGGAAAAAAGCCTCCGGAAAATGGAAAGATGCATTGAAATGAAAGGAAGGGGAAGGGATATTTTCTTTGTGCCCAGTTCCAAAAAAACAAAGTGTGTGTGCATGGGGAGGAAAAAAAAAAAAGGAAGAAAAAAAAGAAAGAAATGGGCCAAAATAAGCCACAGAAAATGGAATTCTCACTAGAAAAATTAGAGAGAAACTCCAGCACACCTTGTGCGTTGTACATGCTGACAGAAGGGTTGTTATAGACCGCTGATTCCCCGAGCAATGTATTATAAGGGTTGTTAGTGCCATGAGGACGAAGCAGAGCATTGGTTATAAGATGATTAGCCATGGCTCCTGGAGCAGCCCGATAGAAAGACAGAGAAAAAAAAAAAACAAAAAAGGTCAATCAGGCAAATGTGGTATTAAAAAAAAGGGAAAAAGAACATTCGAATGACAACAGTTGAAATAGTCCTGATTACAAGCAGCCAGCTAATTAGACTCAGAAAACTGTATGCCACTAAAGCAGAACAGATGTTACTGACAATGCACAAATCCAAACCAATGCAAAAGAAAATGTATCAGAAAGCAGATAAGCCACATTTATGGTGGTTCCCCAGTTGCTCGGAGTATAAGCAAGGCTATGCCCGCATGCTTGCTTAAGAAAGGAAGATGGCAGCCTACACAATATGGGGGGAAAAACTCTCCAGAAAGTGCCAAATGAATTAAAAAAAAATATAATGACTAACAGAAAACAGCACATTCAGCTCCCACTATGGGCTAGGATCTTTTTTACTGGTCCTTTGCAACACATCTAAAATCAAAAAAACAGAATTAAAAAGGAAGGATGGAGAATGCAGCGTCTCCAGAGGCTCTCGGCACTTATCAGAGAGCAGCTGTTTCTCATGTCTAAGAGGGCGAGTTTCACTGAAGCTACTGCTCTGGTACCACTGCCAAACATATCCACAACCACCCGAATCCACTCTTGAAGGCTAGAGCGCCGCGGCTCCATCAGGCGTTTCTATCAGGAGCGAGAGTGGCCATGGAGACGCACGTTTCAAGGCTCTACGTTTGCCCCACAAACACCTTGTTTCCCCACTCCTGGACCTCTTTGCTCTCGCTTCCAAGCACTCAGCCAGCAGTTGTCCTCCCGCTTTGGTTTATCCCTTGGGGTCGCAGCCTCTGGACTTGTGCTTTTCAGGATCATCATGGCTTGGCAGGTGGCTGCCAACACCTACCTTGATTCCTATTGCAGGCATCAACCTATGAAGCAAAGCCTTCCCCCCACCTTTTAGCTGACCTACAGGACCAAAAAACCCATTAAGCCCTTGCTCCAAATCTCCTCTGGGATCCAAAGAGACGACCGACTCAAAAACTTGCCCCCAGGGCTATTGCCACTGTCATCAGTAGAGACCTAGAGCAGGAATACTCAAGGATACACCATGGTTTTTTATCTCCAGGGCTAAACTGTTAAGACAAAACCTTTCCACCAGGAAAAGTAAGTCTTTGGTGGGGCAACTAGAGCTAGCCAGGACAGCGCTGTTAGTGGGCTCAGGTTACCTGGCTGTCACCAACATCTGATAGTGCCAACCCAAACAAGCAACCGAAAAGCCAATCCCCAAACCCAGCAACCCTGGCAGGGATGCCTTCATCATGGAGACCCCATTTGCCTCTTTTAGGGGTGGAGGTGGGCCCTGGCATGGCGGAGGCAGTTTTTGTGAGGCATGTGGGGTACTGGGTAACTGGGTACAATCTCTTCTCTGCAACTCGTTACCTGATTTTTCTTTCCTTTTCTTTCTTTTTTTTTTGCATGGAGTTGCTGAGGATACGTAAGCCCCAAGGGCCTCTGGCTGGTACAAATCCCCTTAGCAGTGACCTCTCTGAAAGCTCACACCTACTAATTATTTAAAAAAAAGTAAAAACTGGCCAAACCGAAGGCTAGATGGAGGCCTTCAGAGCTGCCTCCTGCGGTGCTGGCTCCATTTCCTGGGATGGCGTTTCTCCGTGTCTGCGCAGGTAGAGGAGAGAGCAGACCGCTCTCCCGCCTCTCTCTCATCCTCCCCCAGCCCTCCCCAGCCCCAGGCATATGGCGCTAGCGGATTACTTAATCGGTCTTTTTAGCACAGGACAAAGTAGAAGGCAGCGCTGTATGGGGCTGCATGCCAGGGAGGCTCCTCGACACATGCAGCTGGAAAAAAGAGACTTGTTTTCTCTCACCTGATATTTTTGGCTATGCTGATGGAAAGCAAGATGAGCTGCTGTGTTTGGAAATAAGGAAACAAAGCTGTCTCCTGTAAGAAAACATTATATGAATGCTTAACTAAGCAACCTTGAATGTAACTAATAGTCAAATGAGTCAATTCTTTCTTTCTGGTAATGTATTTTCCATCAATTTCACTTACATCTGGGATGAGGGACTGTAGGAACCACTTCTCTTCTTGAACTAGTTTTGTACCAGCATGAGTACTAAGTCCAATTAAAATTGTTTCTGCTTTCATCCCACTTTTAATCAAGCTGGGCCACAAAACATTCAAAAAGGGACTCACTTTTATACAGGTAACGGGAATGTGCAGAGTTAATGCCAGCCATAAACTCAGAAGTGATATAATCCTCCCATTTGAGATTTAACCCAATCTCCAACTCGGTCCCTATGAGATTTGATACAGAGAAGAATATACCCGCTGCGTGCTTTTGAATGCTTTAGCTTGAGGTGTCTTTAAATGACAACTGCCAGAAAGAGCATCTCACTCGATATATCCCCGGTCTGATCTTGTCTAGCGATCCCTAGCAGGCGGGAACAAGCTGATCCCGCCACAGCTGGGCAGGTCCAGCTGTTTCGCATCTGGGATGCTCTCAACGTGTGACAAGAGAGGAGAAGGGACCAATCTGTGTCAGCACTTAACGCTTCACTCGCCTACGTTCGCCGGGGTGGTGGGCTCTGAAGTGAGCTAAATTCACACAAACCTGGCTCTTTTTGGCTGTTACAAACTAGATAGTTTCTGGCAACTTTTAATGCAGATACATGATTCTGACTATAAACTTGGCAAAAAGTTCAAAATAGAGAATAAGTCATTTTTTCTCTCTCGGGTGTGTAAAAGTGGGGGCTTGGTACAACAAAACAGCCACCCATTCCTGTATGCAGCTACTAAGCAAAAATACTGCGTCTTCTGCCTTCCTCTCCCTTGATTGCTGAGGGCGTTAAGATTTTTTAATTTACTGATCAAAATGCCACTTTTGATGGCAGTGCTGAGTAATTCTCCTGATGCAAATCCAAAACAAACCCACTGCTAACACATTCAGCTATCTTTCAATACTTTCAGAAACACAACTGGGCCCTAAGTGCTCTGCAGCAGGTTCCCGTCATGGTGGGCTGGCCACGGCAAACTTCACACTCTCTGTGGGTCACAGTAAATGTAACCTTTGACATCTTAAAAACAAAATTATATACACCTTGTATTCATTAATTTGGGCTCTTGTTTATCCCCAACTGCTTTAGAGCTGCAACGTTCCCAGCCTTAAAGGATGCTCCAAAGAGCATTCAGGCTCCAAAGAGCCTACAGTTAAAACTTTAGATAAAACAATAATACACCAAACAAATCCCCATTATTGGGTTTCTGCTTCCCGGGAGGGAGAAAGAAAAAGGTAACACCAGCCATACATTTAAGTATCATCCTGCCTTTTTCGTAACACTTTATCATTGCTATAGCAACCAATGGGGCTATTAGGAAGAGAGGATTAGGTCTGCAGACAAGGCACGAGCAGAAGGAGCAGGCAGACTACCAAACTATGACCCCGTTTGCATGAAAATGGCCTTGGTAATAAACAGCCAACAAAAAACCAATAAAGCAAGCACAGGATCAAAGCCCAAGATACCATGAGAGAAAGTAAAGAAGCTTATTCTGCAGCCCTGTGTGCGGGTGCACAGCAAAGGCTGGGTGCCGGGGCTGCGATTGCAAAGGTCAATGCATGTCCGGGGACCCAAAAACCAGACAGAGCAGGGCTGCGGGTGCCCATCGACCGCCTTGAATCTCCTCCCGCAGAGCGCTCTCGGGACGCGACCCTCGGCAGCTGTCTGGCTTGGTGTTGGCGATGTGCCTAATATCCTCAGCAAGCAGCAGTTGTTCATCGTTTATTTTTATTTATTCACTTATGGCTGGATCCTTGGCTCTCAGCATCTGTGGTGCGACACCGATTTCTCCCAGCAAATCCCACAGCCCTGTGTCATCCTTGCTTCCCTACATTTCAGCAACAACATTCCCTATACAAATCCCTCCTTTGCCATCTCCCGAAGCACCTGAGCCCCACACACAGCCACCACTCTTTATTTGCTTTAGTTAGGGTGACTGCCTTCAACTCAGCTGTGTTGAAACACCTTCGCTTCTGCTAGTTGAAGATACCCTACTGAAAGCAAATGCACTCCGTTTCCAAACCGCTATTGTGCTGTGCACATGTGGCAGCATGAATTTGGGGTTGGAAAAAAGATGGAGCTTGAAACCCAGAGGTTCACCTGGGCATCTCCTTGTTTAGTGTGATGAGATCATCACAACCAGCAAATGTTTAACGGCAGAACTCACACCTCTACAAAAATATTTCCTACAACCACACCAGTTGTGCTGGTTTTGGATGGGATAGAGTTAATTTTCTTCATAGTAACTAGTATGGAGCTCTGTTTTGGACTTGTGCTAAAAACAGTGTTGATAATACAGGGATGTTTTCATTGTTGCTGAGCAGTGCTTACACAGAGTCAAGGCCTTTTCTGCTTCTCACCCCACCCCACCAGCGAGGAGGCTGGGGGTGCACAAGAAGCTGGGAGGGGACACAGCTGGGACAGCTGACCCCAACTGACCAAAGGGATGTTCCATACCATATGACGTCATGCTCAGCATATAAAGCTGGGGGAAGAAGAAGGAAGGGGGGACGTTCGGAGTGATGGCGTTTGTCTTCCCAAGTAACCATCACGCTTGATGGAGCCCTGCTTTCCTGGAGATGGCTGAACACCTGCCTGCCGATGGGAAGCAGTGAATGAATTCCTTGCTTTGCTTTGCTTGCATGCGCAGCTTTTGCTTTACTTATTAAACTGTCTTTATCTCACCCCATGAGTTTTCTCACTTTTACTCTTCCCATTCTCTCCCCCTTCCCACCAGGGGAGAGTGAGCGAACAGCTGTGTGATGCTTAGTTGCCGGCTGGGATTAAACCACGACACTGCTATAACTACAGTCCCAAGTCTCCTTGTTTCCACTGATATTCAATGGAAGATTAAAGTTCAGCGCAAAACACAGCTACCAGGCCAGCTCTGATATCCGAAATGACATTCAAATTCAGGTTTCTGGCAATGCCAGTGCTCAGTTCAAGGTTT